TCGAATCCAGCCCGGGCACTCCAAACAACAATGATGGCTGCAACCAAGAAATAGCCAGGCATTGTGGCAGGCACCTGTGGTCCCAGCTACTTGGGAGGCTGAGGCAGGAGACTCACTTGAGCCCCGGAGTTTGAGGTTGCTGTGAGCTGTGATCCCACAGCACTCTACCCAAGTGGACAGTTTGAGGCTCTGTCTCAAAAAAATAAAATAAAATAAAATCAGGAATAAAAGATGGAATATTATTAGCAACTCTACAGTTGGATTATAAAAGAAAACTACAAACTGACTATGTGCCTGTGCCAACAAATTAGATAACTTAGATGACAAAGACAAATTCCTAGAGAGACACAAACTGGAAAAACTGACTCAAGAAGAAATATTAAATCACAATAAATTTATAACAAGAGATAGAATCAGCAGTTTTAAAAGTACCCACCAAAAAAGGGCAGCCCCAAATAGCTTCACTGATGAATTCTATCAAACATTTAAAAAATTAATACCAATTCTTCACAAACACTTTCGAGAAACAGAAGAGGAAGAAAAAATTTCCAACTCTTTTAGTGAGCCCAGTATTATCTTGATGACAAATGCATCATAAGAAAAGAAAACAACAGACTAATATCTTTCATCGATATAGATAGCAAAAATAAAAAAATATGTAGATAGCAAAAATCCATGGTGGTACATGCCTGTAGTCCCAGTTACTTGGGAGGCGGTGGCAGGAGGATCGTTTGAGCCCAGGAGGTTAAGGCTGTAATGAGCTATGGTCAGATCACTACACTCGAGCCTAGACCACAGAGCAAGATCCTGTCTCAAAGAAAAAAAGAAAGATGCAAAAATCCTCACTAATATACTAGCAAAGTAAATTTAGCAACACATAAAAAGGGTTGTTATACACTATGACCAAGTGAGATTTATGCTACAAATCCAAGAGTGCTTCAACATCTGATAATCAATTAAGGCAATAGGATAAAACAAAAAATACAAGATCATCTCAACAGAAGCAGAAAAAGCATTTGACAAAATCCGACACCTATTCATGTTGGGGGAAATAAAAAAAACCCTCTCAACAAACTAGGAATTAAAAGGAACTTCCTCAAAGAGCATCTGTGAAAAACCCACAGCTGACCTCATACTTCATGGTGAAAGACTGGTTGCTTGTTGCCCTAAGATAAGGAATAAGATAAGGATATCTTCTTTTACCACTTCTATTCAACACTGTACTAGAGAGTAATTTTCAACTGGTGCACCGTGAGAGGATTAGATGTACTGTGAACATTTTTAAAGATCATTAATTAAATTATTTTTATAAGAAGTTCAGGCTCGGTGCCTGTGGCTCAAGCAGCTAAGGTACCAGCCACATACACCTAAGGTGG